TAATTTATTAATTAAAATAAGATTTTTTAAAAATAATTAAAACAGGTCTTTGTACTATATTATTAAAAAAAAACAACTAATGAATATAATAAATAATTTTGCAAGGTAATCTTTTATAGAACCTACATGATTAACTTTTCTTCTAATAATAAAAAAAAACTCTAAATAAAAACTATTATTCCTACAAATATTAGAGTAGTCTCCCTTGAAAGTTTCTATTCGAATGTATTTTGTGTTAATTTTCGTTATGAAATACAGTTGACTTTTTAAATTAATTATATAAGAAAGCAATCTATCTCTGTGTATATTTATTTAAAAAAATATTATTACAATAATTAGAATGGGTGTTTCTGGTTAAATAGCAATTATTCTCATTCTAAATCTTTGGCTATCGAGTTTCATGGGTTTTTAAATTTAAGATTATGAACACATTGGCTTGACGAAAATGATTATATACACTTAAATACATACTAAAATTTACTTTTGTTAATAAACCTACACTATTTTATGCACACATACAAAAAAGAATATTTTAGCGGCAGTTACAACGTCAAAAAAAAAAGGAAACTCCTTTATACTGAATAGTTCTACGTAACAACAAAAATGTAAAAATACATAGTCCTAGAGCACACTAACACACACACATATATATATATATATATATATATATATATATATATATATATATATATATATATATATATATATATATACGAAGATATGTGTGTGTGTAAGTAGGATGTGTGGTGGGTAGAGAGGCGGGGTGGAAGGAAAGCAGTTTGGCAGGAATAACGGTAGGTAGGAAAGTAGGTAGGCAGGCAGCAGCGCAGGCAGGTTAGTAGATAGGTAGGTACATAGGCAGGGAGTTAGGTATGTAGGTAGGTGGGCCTAGGTAGGAAGGCGCCTCACTCGGTATAGTGAGCGATTATAGTAGCCCATCATATTCATAGCGTTTCGCAATTATTAAAACGAACAAAGGTACCATAGTACTCACGGGAAAACACGGGGAGCTAAATGGAACCCTGCCAGGGCGCCACCAAATCGAATTTTTTTTCGCAGAAACCACCACAGGGGTATTAGCATTAACTTCTCAGATTTGAATGACAAACGAATGAAATCTTTGGTAATGCTTATACAAACAAACCCACATATTCGTTTTTGGGGTGCGGGTTTGTCCACACTGCCGCCTAGACGCACCAAGGCTCATGGTATGAAAGCCTTGAGTGTACGTTAATCAACCTCTGTAATAGTGAGGTAGAACACACATTGCGACCGCCCATGTGTTAGAGACGCGTCCCTTGGCGCTCCAGGGAGCCACTGGTTATACTCCCGCAGGGGCGCCCCTAATTCGGTTTAATTATAAAATGTCGTGTGCCACCGTGTCCCTATTGTAGGGTGCTCTTTAAAGAGGCACTCTCTGTAGAGCCCGGGGCGCTTGCTGTCGCCAACTGCCAGGGCGCCGGCGGGCGCTCATTATTCTACTTAGTGAACATTTATAGTAGCCCATCTAAACCGTAGTGTCGCCCGAGGTGGGTCTTGGCCGCTCTGGGCCACTCAACCGCCAGGGAGCTGGCGGATAAACCTGGTGTAGTTTTATCACTGAATCTCAGAGGCGGAGCACCATTCCAGGCGCCTGGGGACAAATTTTCAATTTGGCGCCCTCCCCCCCCCCTCCCGCCGGAGACAAACTTTCAATTTGGCGTCCCCCCCCCGTATTTTTTAAATATTTATAATGCAAAACTGTAGCTAAAATGAGCTTTTAAATGTTTCCCACCCATTTTGGCGCCCCTAGGGTTGGCGCCCGGGGACATATGTACCCCCCGCCCCCCTCGCTACGCCTCTGCTGAATCTAGTATTACCTATGACCGCAATTGATGAGATAGCCCCTCTGGATTCCCCTCTGGATTCTGAGCTCATAATCGTATAATGAGAGAAATCGAATCCTCCCAGGGTGCCACACTTAAGAATTTTTTTCTTTCTCGAAACCCTTTTCACCAACTCCCCAAAATTTTATGACTCTCGTACGAACAGTGTCAAATTGCATCTGGCTTTTATTTTTATGGAGAAAAATTGCATTGCTTCCTGTCAGAGACCCCAGATCGAATGGGGCGCCAAAAGGGGTAGACATTTTTTTTTAAATCCTCATTCTTCAGTAAAATTTAAGAAAACAGATTTATCCATGACTGATATCCTCAATTATTTTATATAGGGGAGTGAATGTAGGGATGGGCGCCTTTTTGCCAGCGTTTGAATAGGGTTGGCACAACAGTGATAGTTCGCCCCGGGCGCCGGAATAGGTTGCTACACCTCTGCTTCCTGCTAGGGCGCCGCCCTGGCGAAATCTTTCCGGCGGGGTGGGCGTGCGGACACTGTTAAAAGTATATTTTTTTTCTATATAAATTCCGTTTCGTTCGGGGGTGGGGGGGGGTCGATAGACTTTCTTCGGGGGGTGGGGGGGGGATCTACATGGACTACCTACAGGTCCTAACTCGCGACGAGGTACACATTTGTATTAAAACACACATCTAAGACTCAGTGTTTCTTCCAGACTTTTTTCTCCGGGGGGCGGTAGACTTTCTTCGGGGGGGGGGGGGGCGGTAGACTTTCTTCGGGGGGGGGGGGGGCGGACACTGTTAAAAGTATATATTTTCTATATAAATTATATAAATTTCATTTCGTTCGGGGGGGGGGGGGGCGGTAAAAAAAATTCGGGGGAGCAAAGGCCCCCCCCCCCCCCCCCCGAAGAGATGCCTGGAAGAAACTCTAAGACATTTTCCATTTAGGTGGGTTTTGCAGTACAGTGGTTTCTTAAGTCGTGGACAAATGATTGCGCTTATCTCTATTGAGTAGCTATGTATTGTCCTATATTAGACACATTTGTAAATATCTGTCACAATATGGGCATAGAGATGATATAACGATAGCTTATCTTTGCGGACGACGCTAAACTTTGGCATCGACACCACCGCCTACAAGTTCAAATTCGGTCCTTCAGAAATGTTTGAAGTCTCTAGATTAAAACTACTTTTCTCTTTTATGTGCCTAATGACCACATCACAGTCATGCATTTGTTCTGAAAGTCTAAAAACAGAGGCACAAATATATCGTCTAGACTTGGGAGGTCTACAGATTAGGTATTTTGGCAGTTATCTAAGCCTTTGCCTGTTCTGACTCAAAGCCTTATTCTTTCTCTATCGACGCCTTGCGTAACATGGGATTGGGTTTTTAAGGCGGCATAAAGCTTTATGTTCTTCCTTTTTGAGTACACTAGATTAAAAACTAACGTTTTCAGATGCCTAAAGATGTTTAACCACTAATTAATCAGAATAATGGGTCAAGATTTCAATTCTTGGTTTTGGGACACGTTAGTTGCCGGGGTTGAGCTAATGTCGATAGCATAAGGACTGTACCTTGATGCGGGCGTTTTATTTGTTGCCCATCGTAATAATTGAATGGTTGATGGGGCTTCTTCAAGGGTTTGATTTGCCGTAATGTTAATGATATCATGTATGTGAGGCTTTTCTAAGAAGAAAATGCGTTAAAACACTTTTTAGTTATGCTTTTTTAAAATAGGCCTATATTTTACGACAACATAATCGTAATGAACAATAAAATGAATTTAAACAACTTTAGAATACACCTGTTTCGGCTAACATGAATGTTATTCTTCAAACTTGTAATGTTAAACGTGTCTTTTTCGCATTTTCGACTTATAAGCAATACAGTAAATTCCGATAACTTCCATATGCGTACAAGCAATGGCGTAGGCGAGGAGGGGTTTAATAGTGATTTAATAATGATACTTTCTTAACCCTCTACTGGACATCATGTTTGGTACCTTGCCCCCGGCAACTGGGTGGATTTGGATTACACCCAAGTTTTACTTCATAGTAAATGACTTCAGTTTTAATTATTGGAGTTGGTAGCAACATTGACACAGTTGAAGGTATTCAGAACAAGGTGGCCAGGGGAAATCACATTAATTAGTATAAAATTTACCATTACTAACAATAGGCCTTACTTAATTGTTTAATGTTGCTGGATATTAAGCCTGGTAGGTATTTATGTTTATTAATTTGTACAGAAACAAAAAAAGGATTCCCAAACAAAGTTTTATTTTTCAGAAATAAAGAAAATGATACAAATCAATAAAGAACAGTTTTCAAAAGAATTTGTATAAAAGTAATTATTATAAAATAAGAATATAGCATTGCATAGATAAAAATAAAATACTTGACACAAACAATATGAGGAATATTTTTTATCAGAGAGGAGAAAAATATATGATGTAGTTTGAAAATAATAATGTACAGAATGTAGCTTTTGCAGATTAAAATGAAAATTCTCATGCCTATATAATTTATTGAGTAAATGAAGCAAGGCCCAAAACACTAGGCTAAATACTATGCATGGGACAGGCATTGAAAACTACAAATTGCATAAAGTGAAGGTTACCCTATTTATTGGCTATATCCACAGTAAAGATTTATGGCTTTATTACCTGCTTGTAAAATTGTTAAGGAAAAAGTGAAGTATTGTTAACGGCACATGTTGTCATTTTTGTGTTCTCGGCACATGTTGCCATTTTGTGTGTTCTGGGAACATGTTGCCATTTTGTGTGTTCTGGGCACATAATGACATTTTGTGTGTTCTGGGAACATGTTGCCATTTTGTGAGTTCATGGAACATGTTGACATTGTTTGGCTGTGTTCTGGGAACATGTTGCCATTATTTGGCTGTGTTCTGGGAACATGTTGCCATTTTGTGTGTTCTGGGAACATGTTGCCATTTTGTGTGTTCTGGGAACATGTTGAAATTATGTGGCTGTGTTCTGGGAACATGTTTGTTTCATTTCTAAATATTATAATAAAACATTTTTAGAAATTCTATATTAGGAATTGTGTATATATATAAATTTATATATTTAATAAGACAATTGGATGAATTATAATAAACAGCAAAAATGATTCAAATAAGTTTAGAAGTATTTGGTTTGATGTCCCAACAGTGAACTGTATTCCGAGCTTGTTTCCCTAGTGATAACCCATCTTTTTTGTGCCACCCTTCCAATCAAATATCCAGCTTTTTCTTGGCCTGTATCATATTGCTGGTTATAGACTTGCTTGATTTGTGTATCACAATATGATTTTGAATGTTCTTCTGTAAATGAAATAAAGACAAAATATTTTGAAATATTCTTTTGTGGAACTAGCAAGAGAAATACATTACAAATTATTATTACTATCTCTACTATTTCTTTACTATAACTAATTACTTTGAAAAGATAAAGCACTAAACATGATGAATAACAAGAAACAAACAATATCAGCAAATATTATAGATTTAAAATTGTGTTCATTCATATTGAAGATTAATGAAGTAGACTATCAATATTTACCCTCTTGATAGCTGATACTTTGATTTGATGTCTTTACTTTAAGCTTACACATCAGTCTCTGTGTGGTAAAATATGAAATAATATGCTTCAATAAAACTGTTTCAGTATATTAATCATATTAGATAAGTACATAGTTTTGAGCTCTATAACAATATGTGTTTCAATTATCTATCAAATATAATACCCTCTATGTTTTACAACTCACTGATTTATTAGAATTTAAGAAAAGACAATAATTAATAAAATATTTAGGATTAAAATCCATTATATTTATTTTAACATATAATGCTATCTCTTGCTATAATAATTACTTTAAAAAATGGGTTATGCCTATAGTACAGTTACCTGAGGATGAAACTAGGCACAGTGTATAGTCCACGGAGACTGATTAATATCCCTTGTAATTGAACATCAGTTGTAGTTATGAAATCTGGATGGCCAAACACACACTCATAGTCCTGAAAAGCAATTTACACATAGATTAGCAAGAATATCTCACAAATTATTAAATTAAAGCTAACCCCTATTTAGTGCAATCCATCAAAGTAGTAGCATTTTTGTTAAGTTGTAGACAAAATACAAAGTAATGTTTATTCTGTGATTTACATACTTTTATAAAATAGCAATATATATATATATATATATATATATATATATATATATATATATATATTCATTGTAAATTTTAGTTATGTCTTGCTATTAAATTTATTTACTCGACTGATCTAAACTCACTTTATTTAAACATAATATAGTGGATAAGTATAGTGATTTTATTATTCAGCAATAAATAGCAGGCCTAAAAATTTTTAAATAGTAACGTTTGCGAATGAACACATTAAATTCTATGTATTTCCATTTCTATGTCTTTCCCAACTTGATGCATATTACTAACCAAGCATTAAACTATAGTCCTAAACCTGACTCTAATTATCATTTATCGGACAACCTGAACCTTTGCGATACCATGTTATAATATATTATTTTAAAAAAGAGCTTACCACTTATTACTAAAATCAATTGTTTTTAGTATTAACTGAGCCGCATACTATTTGCTCCTATTGTCATCACCAGAAATCCAGTATGTTGGCAAAGATTAGTCTCTAAGTTCCCTGCAACCTCCTTCCTCTTGAGTGCGGAAAACACTGAAATTATTAATCATTATTTCATTATGCCTAATAGTTTAAAGGTAGTATTAAAGTAGTACTAAATAGTATGCGTCTTAGTTACTATAGGTCTAATGATAATTATTATTGTGTATGCTTACATGCTTTAAGTTTTATGCACAATATTGGTATATAATATATAGTCTATAGTATATAGCCTAAGCTATAGAGTATATAGGCCTATAAGCCTAAATATAACAGCAGCTTGAATAATGCTCATTAGCATGCATTCACTATAAACTATAAAGATAAACAAATATTTCAATTTAATTTAATTGTAACTAATAATAGTAAATAGGCTTTTTTCTTGTGGTAACAAATTTAAAGTATAGGGCAGTACAGTTATAGTATAGGCCTACTAGATTCTATATTTAAGTATGTGGGCTTTTAATTCCAATGCACCACAATAGATACCACACATGATCAAGCTGGACCTCTGATCTAAAGATTTAATAATTGGGCCTAACAAACAGTGAAACTACAATAAAAATCATGTAAATTACTAATTTAACCTTCTTACCTCCGCTTCTCTAGATCTAGATGGGTTTTCTTTTTATGCAGCCGTATGATTAGATTCTAGAATCTAGACTATATTCTAATAAACATGAAATAACTACTAACCAGAACACTAGATCTAAATTTCTATATTCTAAGAAATATGTATTAAACCTATAGGCCTAATATTTATTTTAAATTCCTATGCGATGTGTCGTGAACTGTAGGTTTCATGTTATTTTTGTAATGGCGGAAATCAGTTTAAAATTTCGTTTCCTTCCTTTTGTTATTCTATTTATAGATTCAAAAGTCGGAGCAATTATCATTGAGTTTGTCGGCTGATCCACACAGGAAGTGACCGTATATCTATTAGTTACTCAGTGATCCTATCATTGACAGATACAGAGATAGCCATTCGCATGGGGTGCTCTCGCACTCTCTCTCTCTCTCTCTCTCTCTCTCTCTCTCTCTCTCTCTCTATATATATATATATATATATATATATATATATATATATATATATATATATATTATAATTTATTATCTACAGTGCCATATATAAAGTGCCGTATTTATAGTACTGTATTAGGTCACACGTTTAAAAGGTAAAAAATACTACTATCAGTGTCGGTTTGGTGTAGGGGGTAGATGACAAGGTAAAAACTGAAACCTTGTTCTAGCTTTACCCGCCCCTGATCTGCTGTGTGATTTTTCTACAAACAGTAATCATTTTAATACATTGGTTCGTCTAGTTATCCAAATGTAATAATTTATTGAAATGCATATACGTTTATTATAGAGAACACACTTTTTTTTCCGCCTCAGACATGTAATTTACAGCGTCACTTTGCCTTGCATGTTTGCTTTAGTATTAGTTTTCATCATCGGCTTGTTAGGACTGATACAGATTTACAATTGTAATATTTCTTTAATACTTGAAGCCTACTTTCATTTATTTAAGACGTTTACTTGTACGTGGTATAATACGAAACGTCTAAATATAAAAAATAGCATTGATAACACTGAATCTTTTTATCTAAAAAAATATTTTTTTAAAAAATTCAGCTAGCCGTTTATTTAAATTTATCGTCCAATTAAATACTAAGAATGTTAAACGATGTTTTAAAACAAATAATTTTATACACAAACTTTAATATTTTTAATTTGCTAAAAGTAAAACATTAGTTTACTTTTAATTCAATTATTTATGAATTTCTTGACGTTATCTGACGCTATATCGGATTATAGTTATAATTTGTCTTTCTTGAAGAATTTAAATTTATAAATTGAAAATGTTTCTAATGATTCAATAAATTAATTGCTAGATTCTGAACTAGATGCTTTAATCTTTAATGCTTTTTAACAAGCTGCGTTTTTCCTTCTCCTCAGACATGTAATTTACACTTGCAGCGTCATTTTGCCTTGCATGTTCGCTTTAGTATTACAGTTTTCATCATGGGCTTGTGAGGACAGATACAGATTTACAATAGTAAGACTATTTTTTAGCATGTTCTTTCATTCATTTAGGATGGTTTTCTTATACATAATACACTCCATCTATTGACAATTATATTTTTAGACCTGAAAATGCAGATGTGTAATTTAATGTTATCAGATTTCAGGTTTTGAGAAAACATCAAACTTGACTGATGACTCACCGTATTGGTCCATAAAATTCTACACTAACTTGTCTAGAACACAATTACCTAAATGTAAAAAGTGGATGTAACCTGTGTGTTGTTATACTTGGCAGGTAAAACCGTGTTGAATTACACCTCGCTTATCATATAGCGCATAGCATGTTGGCACGCAATGCTTAATTTTATGATGGAGGAAAGCAAAGGGACTAACAGATGTGGCGTTCTTGCCTGTGGTATCCTGCCTGGCAGGTAGGGAGCCGGGCTCTCCGTCTCGCAGGTAGGGCCCGGGCTCTCCGCCTCATATGTATGGGGCCGGGCTCTCCGCCTCGCAGGTAGAGAGCCGGGCTCTCCGCCTCGCAGGTAGAGAGCCGGGCTCTCCGCCTCGCAGGTAGAGAGCCGGGCTCTCCGCCTCGCAGGTAGAGAGCCGGGCTCTCCGCCTCGCGGGTAGGGGGCCGGGCTCTCCGCCTCGCAGGTAGAGAGCCGGGCTCTCCGCCTCGCAGGTAGGGAGCCGGGCTCTCCGCCTCGTGGGTAGGGAGCCGGGCTCTCCGCCTCGCGGGTAGGGAGCCGGGCTCTCCGCCTTGAAGGAGCCCACACAAGCGAGCTGGTGGTTCCTCTATTCTTGCCTGTGAAGCCAGGGGCAAGGAACAGAAGATTAAATCTACTGACCAATACAGTGATAAAAACATCAAAACACTTGTTATCCTGAAATGAAATGCCGTGGAATTTCCACAAGAAAAAGAAAGCTCTAAACGTATTTTAAAAATTAGGAAACACACCTCAACACCAATCTTCACTTCTCTATTAGAGGATACACCTCTAAGCAAGACAGGGGAAAACCAAAAGGTATCCTCACCATAATAAAAGATGACATACCAACAACAGATAGCATTATAAGTAGTAAAATTCCCTTTCAAACCTGATAGTCTATATGGCAAGTGAAGTAGAGTTCACTTGTTTCTGCGACCTAGGCATATGAAGAGATAGTGTGGTCAGCACTACACCTAGCCGCCTTTACTTTCTCTAACGTGAGTTAGGTACACATCAGAGTTTGGTGGACTCAGTGATGATCTACTGACTTGAACCAGGTTTGGAACTCGAGACTTACGGGTTAGCAGTCCAGAACTCTACCGCTAGACCAGTCCGTCCCATAGATAGCATTATACTTAGCTCAATGGCATTTGAGATAATTAGTACCTAGCTGATACTCACAGAAGGTAATCTAAATATCTTCCTGATAAGGACCTGGAACTGGACCGCATCTCTCTGCCAGACAATGAAGATTGCCTGGTTGTGGGAGACATGAACAGCCACTCTCAGAGCTGGGGTTACCCTGACCTCAATGCTAAAGGAAAGAAAATTGAAGAATGGCAAGCAGGAAGGCTTACACGTCTAAACAACCCTGATGACAAACATACCTCAACAAACGACCGGTGTGGGGTGACACCACATTTAATAAGTTACTATGAAAATTGTTTTTTTTTCACTTTAAATAATAAGAGGAGTAATATACTTTTTTGCAGAAAATGATGCCACTTGTTAAATTGGAGTGGAGGGGGGGGGGGCGGTCGACACCAAATGCAACTTTCACAGAAGAATGTAATGGTAAGAACAAAATACACCACCCACCAAAGTGGTTGGTCCTGACATCACATTGAAAAAAATTGCAAATCAACAAATCAGTTGATGGTGGAGCGTGGCGGCTAATTAAAATATCAATTCTAAATTGCTCATCGAACATGTCATTACGCAAATGCCCCCAGCGTAGAGGTAGCGTGTGGTGGGAGGGGGGAGTGACACAAGTAAAACAATAACTGTAAATTAGATATTGTAAGTTTGCTTCATTAATTTAAGATAAAATGCCAATTATTTAATTTTAACTTTTGTATTTTCTTCTTCTTCTTCGTTCTTAATATATATATATATATATATATATATATATATATATATATATATATATATGTATATATATATATATATATATATATATATATATATATATATATATATATATATATATATATATATATATATATATATATATATATATATATATATATATATATATATATTGTTCGGAGGGGGGGGGGGTACACCCGTCCAGACGACGCCACTGTCTATGACCTAGAGTATTTACTATTTACAATTTTTTCTTTTATAAAAAATTAAAACAACACAGTGTGTTGAGTCCTCAAACTATGAATATCGGAAATTAGTAAATCTGAACTTTCTCATTATTTCTACAAGTCAATTCTTTAATTAAGCTAGCTGTTTGCAGTTAAAACTTGAGCCTAATTATAATTTAAAATTAGAAATTAAAAGCTAAACGATCCTTTTTATAAGATTTTAAAAATATTTTAGTTTCAATTTACACTGTAAACAATGCTTTGTATTTTTTTAAAAATATTTATGAATTTCTTTGTACATTTTGCCAATTTTTAAATCAAAGTTGTATGTTATCCTTCTTGGTTAATTTAAATTTATAAATGGAAATTAAGAATGCGAATTAATTAAATACATTTTCTTGATTCGGATATTATTCATCTGAAATTTAAATGAGCAAGATATAAGCTTACATTTTCCATATACAAATGTATCCATGAATATAAAGGCTAGAGTTGGAAAAGTTTTTTCTTAGTTTGTATTTGATAGTCAAATATATAGCTATGCGTTTTAATCAAACTTTTACATCTTTCGTGAAAAAATAACATTGCTAGTTTAATGCTGTTTTTTGAGGCGTTCGAATACATGCACTTCCTTGTCTTATCTACAGCTCAGTCTTAATTCCTTGTAGCGAACATTTGATGCAGAAAGTAAAGTAAAGTAGTTGACGGATACAAAACTGTTTTCTTAAATATTTTTATAAATGTTTTAATTAGAGTAACTGTGACCTAACCTCAGATAAAATGTTAAACCAGAACTGAAATACTTGCATTCACTGTCAGAACTCTGTAAAGAATTGAAAATAATTCTGATGAATTAATAAATCAATTGCTAGGTTCTGAACTAGATGCATTAAACTTTTTAATCGTCCTAGACACCGGCCTTTATTTTACAAAGTTTCAAAGTACAATGTTGTTTTCTCTGTATAGTGCTATATTTAAATTACCGTTTTCTTCTTCTTCGTTCTTAATTTTTAGTGTTGGAAGGGATCGAGCATTGTCCGCCAGAGGGTTGAACTCGAGACTTTTTTCGAATTTATCAACCTTGTGCTTTTGCCAACTCGACCACGCCTCCATCACAATTAAGGATACGTGTCAACTAGTTATGCGCAATTGAGGTTATTGACTCCGATTTCAGCCTGCTTTTCTTTTTGGATTTGCCTCTAAAGCCTTTGTTCAACAAAGAACAAACCACAAGGCAGCAGTTGTTTGATTTTGGAGTTGTCTCTCCTAGAAGAGCTGCTGTCCCCAGCTAACGAGCCTCATCAGCCCGAGGGTTCGAACCCGAGATTTTCGGTTTAGCAACCATGAGCTTTACCGACTCGACCACGCCAAGATAAAATGCCAATTATTTTAAATTAACGTTTGTATTTTCTTCTTCTTCTTCGTTCTTAATTTGAGTGTTCTAGATTTATTTCTAATTTTTCTAATTGGTATCGGTAGCTTATGTTATACTTCATGTGTGTGGATATTTTACTATTTAGTTATTTCTTTGCATTTTCACTAATATCGTTCAACGTATAGTAAAGCACATTGCGTTTTGATCGATAAC